TTAAGGGATGGAGCTATTTCAGATCGGTGAACTTTAGGATATATCGAGAATTAACTAGAAAAAAACATGTATTTTTTCATTCGATTACACAAAAGTTGACTCAATCAACTTCTTAGTTCATCTATTTAGATGCACATTGATTAAATGTCTTCCTTGTACTCAATTTTTTTTTTACTTTTGATTTGTTGGATTCCGTTTTTGTAGATAGAAATGGAGAAAGAACGGGTACACCCAATTGCTTGGTGCTTGGTGTGCAATGAGTACCAAAATCCCAAGTTTAAGCATTACGCATCTAGTATGTATGTTATGTAATTGCTCACACTATCATACACGAATTAAACTTCCTACTTTTAGATTGCTAAATTTGAATCCTTTTCTAGGTTCAAGTCATGGAGAAGCAATATGAAAAGTTAAATAAGATACTAAAAAAACTACATGTTTCCTCTACTCCATCCATCATTCAACAATATTACCTTTTTAGTCATACTGGATACCTGAATATGTTCTAAATAGGATGGTATCTACCGAATCTTGCCTATTTACTTTTATCTTTAAGTTAGTTTATTGATTTTGATTTTTGTTGCTTATATTTATACTATAGCTAGGTTTTTTAATTGGATGTTTTGCAATGGACATGATGAAGTTGGATACCTTTTTTATTTATGTTGATAATGTAGCTTCTAAGAAAGATGATTTTGTAGTTGAATCTTATGTTTTGCTTGATATTTAGTAAGTTATAGGTTTTTTGTTGCCAAATTCAGTCTCATGGATTTGCTCCTCGTGAAATCTCATGGCTTTAATATCCAACATTTTTTTTCCTTTTTTGGTTAACAGGGCTTTCAAAGAATATGAAGAAAAAACAATATTGATGGGTTTTTATACGCCCTATAGTTATTAAAACCATAATTAATTAATGGTGGACCTGGAGCAAGATGGGAAAAGTCTACTATTTCAGTCCAAAGTCCATTATCTTTATTTCAATATCAATTTTCCTGGTCTCTTTACTATTGAACATAAACACAGAACATCTGCCATTGTGAGGTATGAATTTGTAAACCGCTTTTTGCCAATTCATTTGTAGCAAAATAAATTTGTTTTTTGTTTTTTTTGTCGGTGCATTCTACTCCTTCTTTAAAGCCTTTGTTGTAGGTGGGTTGATAAAGGGTTATGTTATCTTGGCTTTTGTAATCTTGAAGAATTCAAGTTTAAAAGATATTATAGTTTCATCATGGAAGGACCGAATAGATTAATATCAAATGAATTTAATTATCCTGGATGTCTTGTCAGAGAGATTCTATCTTTCATTTTGTTCTATATACATCATTATAGGTTGAGTTGTCCCATATTTGCCGGAGTTCTTGATCATGCTACAACTAATTAACAACATACTAGTCATTTAGAAAGATTGTTAATCCGTGTATTACAATGTGTTTTAATATATAATTAATTTAATGATTTTAAATATTTCAATGTTGTTTTACTATGACTACAACTTGTAGGAGCTCAAAAACATGTTATGGTTAAAATCGTGGATTGTCAATAATGAAGGCAATCATTTTCTGCATTTAAAGGGCTATTGTTGTCATTTTCTGCATATGTAGGGTTGTTTCTGTTATTTTGTATGTAAAGAGTAATTTTTGTAAGTTTTTACACTTAAAAGAATTTTCTATATTTTTCTTCATTAAAAGGGTAATTTCTATAAGCTTGTGTATTTAAAGGGTAATTTTTTTTGTTTTTTTTGTAATTTTCTGCATTTTAATCGGTAATTTCTATCATTTTGTGCATTAAAAATGTAATTTTTGTAATTTTCAGCATTTAAGATTTAATTTTTGCCATTTTATTTATTTGTAGTGTTATTTTGGGTATTTCCGCATTTGAAAGGTTATTTCTGTTATTTCTCATTTAAAGGGTAATTTTAGTAAATTTCACCTGTTAAATGAATTTTTCAGTAAAATTTTCATTTAAAGGATAAATTTTATAAGTTTACGTTGTAATCATTCATTGAGAAATTCTCTCCAGGTAGCAGGTCAAATTAGTGTAATACAATATTTACTTTTGAATGTTAGTCTTTATGATGGTCGATTCTTAGGGCATTTGAACGAAATCGGCGATGAATTAAATGGAGACAAGCAAAGATACTATTCTAATGAAACAACTATATTTTGGAAGTTTTTATTGATAACAAGCTTTAATGATGTTTTCTCTCTCAAATTTATGGATTTGATAATGAGTGCAAATCATTGGTTTTTTCTCAATTTATTGAAATGAAACTAATAATCGCATTGCGCGCAAGTTTCCCATTATTTATGATTTATGACTATTTTTGTTATTTTGAAAAATAGTTTTTTAATATTTAAACTACCTACTTAGTCTTAATTTTAATTTTAGACGGATCCTATTTAAGGTGTCATTACATTGTACAGGTTTCCCCAACTTTTTTTCCCGCCTAAATTTACAAAGCGAAGTATGATTTTTCCTTTCTCATGCTTTAAACTCCCGATGCATGAAATCCGGTAAGACTTATCCCTTCTATAACATGATTTTTGGTCTCCTATCGAATCAACAATTAAATCGCAATATATCTTCAAATTTGAATCGTTCATATGTAACTTTGAACACATCTTATATAGCCGCTTCCTCCTGGGTTCAAACTGTGATGCTATGACATCCCAAATTCATGGTCATTTTAAAATTTTTATTTATGCTTATTTGAAAATCAAAGTATTGCTGTGAAATTTGTTCCCAGAAAAAACATGATAAATATATTATCAAAGCATTTATGAAGAAATGTATTTTGTTCATATTAAAACTTTGGGGTGCCATCGTCAATACAGAAACATAAGCATAAACAAATCTTACATTCATTTACACTAGTGGTCTACATCTCTTTTAATATCGCAGTGTACCATAGCTTCGTATCGACACCTGTGATACAAATAAACTAAGTGAGTCAGGTTGGGAAACCTGGTGAGTACATAGGGTTTTCAATCCACAATAATATAATTATTATATTTAATCATCAAACAATTAACCCAATAACCAATCCCCATTATCTTCTTTAATCTTAGGGATCTACCCCAAAAATCATTTATCCTTCATTTATTCATTCCTAAGGATTATCTTTAGGAATAGGGACGAAGTCCATCATTGTCTATGACACAATTGCCAATGTTATCTATTAGGCACAACTGCCAATATTATCCTTTGGACGCAATTGCCAGGATTATGATGTTCTCTGTTAGGTGCAACTGCCGATATTATCCTTTAGGCGCATCTGTTAGGATTATGATATTCTTTATTAGGCACAATTGCCGATATTATCATTTATGCGCAACTGCCAGGATTATGATGCTCTCTATTATGTAGAGTTGTCAATATTATCCTTTAGGCGCAGCTGCCAGGATACTTAGAGTACATCTGATGAACACGTAAATCAAAAACACATACTGGTTATGGCGCAACTGTCAATATTCATCTATATCATCTTTCATCTCTCATTATTTATCTACCTATGTTCTACCCAACATATTTGTAGATATAAAATACATATACAGTTTAAATCATTAAAAACATGTATAAATCATTCGTCCAACATAGATATCAAGAACACAAATAATATGCACACATAACACATAATTTATATTAAATAATTCATATCTATGTATAACATGAAAGTAACTATGCACTCACATTAGTAGCGTGATTGGATAGAATATAACTAGAAATTGTCAGTGGTTCGTGATCATTGGGTTCGGGAAGGGAAACGATCTTTGGAAAAAGAGAGATAATGAAAGTAGAAGGTGTAAGGAAGGAATGAACCTTAATCGCTATTTATAGGCTGGTTTTGGCTCTCTCACGTCATGAGAATCAATGCTCACTTCATGAGCCATGACTGTATCATCTTGTAGACTTGCCATATGCGTTTATAGCTTCGAAAGGTGTCTCGATGACTTCTCACGTCAGGAGAATGATATGCTCACATCTTGAGCTTCCAAGAGTCATCTCGTAGCCTTCCCAGGTTTTTTCTAGCCTCGATTAGTGTCCGTTTAACTCCTCACGTCATAAGAAAACATGCTCATGTCGTGAGCCCTGACAAATTAGGGTTTCACCACGTGTCATGCTCTCAAACAACTACATATTCGGAAGATCATAACATTTGCATACGAGCTCTGTTTTTAACGTTCTTTATATCCACGAGCGGTGGAGACGTAATCTATCTTTCATTTAGATCAGTAAGACTAAAAAGTAATCTATCGTAAACTACCTTTTTTTACGATTCCCAGTGTCGCGTCGGTTTTGTCGCGAAATTTCGACATGTCATAACTTATTCATTATAACTCGGATTTCAACGTTCTTTATATGTACGGAACCCTTGTGACATATACTATAACTTGGTTAAGACTATTTATTATAAATAATTTTCCATCAAAAAGTCATTTTTGACGCTTATTGTCTCTAAATTGACTAGCCCGAATCTGCGGGCGTTACAAATGTTTATTTAAAGAATGTATAGAGATAAATATGGAAATAGTTTTTAATGTATATAAAGATTCTTTTACAAGAGAATTGAAGAAGTTTAATCCATGATTCACTCTTCCCAACTTCATCTTTCTTGGCATTTATATGGACCTAAAATGTCAAAACTTTATGGTTTAGATTTGCTTACATGTATTTATATCTTTGTGCTGGTGATCAACATAAAAGTCTAAAAGTATATTTATTAATGACAAAATTACAAAAATGGTCCCTGTGGTTTGTCAAAAGTAACAAACTTAGTCCCTATCTATTTTTTTATGCATTTGGCCATTGTGGTTTGTAGAAGTTGCATTGGAGGTCCTTTTTCATAACACCGTCAATTTGTAGCCGTTTGGGGTCATTAAGTTGGGGGTATATTCGTCTTTTTACGTTTGCTTCTCCACACCCTTTAATAAGCCCTAACCAACGTTCACAAAAATCAAGCTAGCATCTCTGAAAAATCGAAGCTCTCCTCTCTTGCAAGAATGGTGATTTGTACGTGTGGAAGTGTTACTGTGAGAGTCACATATTGGACGGACCTCAACCCAGGAAGGCGATTCTGGTCTTGTGCTCGAAATGGTCGAAGTTGTCCATTTCTTGGGTGGGTGGACGATCCGATGTGCCATAGAGTTGTGGAGGTGATTCCTAGCTTGCTGAGGAGAATGAACAATGTTCAAATGCTGTTGATTCAAGCTCGTGCAGATGTTGTGAAGCTCAAGTGGATGCTTATTCTGTCTTGGTTCTTTTTTTTTTCATTTATATATGTATGTACTAAGTAGTAGTTGGATTTGGGGATGCATTTGTTCAGTGTATTTTGGATATGTAATGTCGGATGGTGTGTAGAACTGGAATGGGATATTGCTAGTTGATTTTGGGATGGGATGTCATGTATTAGAATCTTAATGTAATGTATGGTTTTGGTTAATCAGTTTAATAGTATTTTGTTTTATGTTAATTATAAAGCATTGTTTTTTTTTATTATTATTGATCAGGAATATTGGAATGGAATGGAAAGAGTTGTGTCCATTTATCAAAGATTGGAATGGAATGAGAAAAATAGAAGATCAAAACCCTATAAGTAAACAATGGAATGGAATGTGTTTTGGTCATTTATCAAACAATGGAATGGAATGAGTTTTGGACATTATCAAACAATGGAATGGAATGAGTTTTGGTTATTATTAAACAATGGAATGAAATGAGAAACACACCATATCAAAACATGATAACTGAGATCATTATAACCAGAAATGTAGCATGACATATGGCTAGTATCAATTTAATTACATCACTAATTCAGGTAGTTGCAAAAAGATGTAATTATCTAGATTAAACATGTTTTAACAAAAGCATCAATACAAGTTTATAATCTTAAACAAAAGGTAGCCAAATAACTTGATTAGTCATGCTTTCATCTGTATCCAACTTCACTTAGGTCCTACTTGAGGCTTTTTTTCCCTTGTCTATCTTCTTTGCTCTTAACCCACCCATGACATTTTCACTTGATCCACCCACTGAACCTTGACTTGTTCCACCAACTGCATCTTTACTTGATCCACCCACACCACCTTAACTTGATCCACCCACTGCTCTCTGACTTGACCCCCCTTGCCCCTTACATGTTCTAGAGTTATGTCCTTTGTTATGACACTTGGAACAAGTAACAGTCAAGAATTTCCTAGATAGGTTTTTTGATTGGTTAGTAGGCTCATCTATAGCCCTCCTCCTATTTTTCTTGGGCCTTCCAACCTACAAAAATATTAAGGAAATCTTAAAAGTGGATGAATAAGAAACTATGTTAACTAACATACAACTTACTTGTGTGTGATGTGTAGGTGGTATAAGAGTGGTTGGACATCTAGATTTTGGCCACATGCTCCTTCCATTGATTGGATCTATTTTGTTAGAGTACATTGCCCTCGATGTTTCTAGCTTATAACAAGGATGCGCCCAATATTCAGGTTGTTGGGCTTTTTCACCATTTTGAACATGTTCCCATATTGCACAAATTCCATGCCTGCAGACTATCCCTGTTATCTCCCAGTACCTACAACTACATGTACCCTCTTTCAAGTTGACCACATACTGATCAAACATCATACCAGTCACTTGATATTTTCCAGAACCACAGAAGAGTGCCTTATATTTGCTTGCAGCTGTTTTAATCGTGTCAAGTATAGTAGTTGCAGTAGGGGTTAATAGACTTTTGCATTTATCAATTTCATTTTGTACAATGCAATGTCTCTTCATCAAGTACACTCTTATGTACTCTAAACATGTAATTATAGGCTTGTCCCTTCCACGCTCTAGCTTAGAGTTGAATACTTCACACAAATTGTTTAAAAGACAATCTGAATGGGCTCTACCTGAGAAATGGGACCTAGCCCAATGAACTGGAGGAATCTTACTTAGCCATTCACGAGCCTCTGCACTGAAATCTTTGAACTCATCCATTGTCCTTTCAAAGTGTCTAATGGTTGTATATGTAACACACCTCCATAAGTGATCTCTAAACTCTTCTCCCCTCCATTGCAACTTCATGTTTTCATGTATATGTCTCAAACACCATCTATGCTCTGCATTTGGAAACACTTTTGCTATTGCAGGTATTATGCCCTACATATAATGTAATTTATAGTTAGTATTGTTACAAGCTTTAAAAGATACTTATGTTATATGTATTCATACCTTTTGTCTGTCAGATACAAAAGTGAAGTTGCATGATGCATCCAAATCCAAATCATCACCAAGGCATTCTAAGAACCATGTCCATGAACTTGTTGTCTCAGCTTCCACAACTGCATAAGCTAGTGGATATATTCCATTGTTAGAATCAAGACCTACAACTGTTAGAATTAGTCCAGGGTGTGGTCCTTTCAAGAAACATCCATCCAATCCTAATAATTCCCTTTTTCCATATTTGAACCCCAACTTAAGTGCTCCAAGACAAATGTATATCCTCTTGAATATACGAGTTTGAACATCAGGATTTGGTTCATTACACACTTCTAGCTTCACTGTTGTACCTGGGTTATTGGTTTGTAACTCCAAACAATAATCTCTCAGCAAATTATATTGCCTTTCGTATTCACCATATAGTTGTTCCTTTGCAATTGATTTAGCCTTGAACACCTTCATTCTTGATATGCTTAATTCCAAATCCATTTGAAGCTCTTCTTGTAAGGCTGTTATTGGGATGCGAGGGTTGGAATCTACTTTTTGGAGAATAGTGCTTGCAAGATATCTAGATGTACATGCCTTCACATTTCTACTTTGTAAGCATAAATGCTCATCAATAACTGTCTTCACCAACCATTGTTCCTCTTCCGTAGATCTAGAAATCTGAATAGCAAAAGGACAAGAATCTTTTTGTGAAATTACAGTTTTTCCCTTCGGCTTTACTTATAGTGGAGGGCCCACCATCAGTGGAATTTGGAACCACCCCTTTACACTTGACTCTTACTCTTAATTTTTCATTTTTTGCCATGTGTAGGGCCCTCCTTGTTTTTATTGAAAGCATCTTCACGTGACATTGTATATTTTTTTGGTTTTAAAAGCTTGACCCACAAAAAAATGGTGTAACATGAACTACCCCAGAAGAACAAGGTGATGGGTTTTAGCCATAAGAACTTTCCTATGTGCGCATGCAAAACCCTAATGCTTGGATCTAGGCTTTCTAATTAAACATGCTTTGAATCCAAGACTTCTAATGGCTAATTAGGTTAAATAACAAAATTGAAATAGATCTAGAATCATACCTTTGAGTTCCTTGTTGATCTTGTTGTCTTGGAGCTTCTAGAGTCACAAATATCACTCCTTTAATGGCTTACAAACACCAATAGCAAGCAAGATGATTTAGGAGAGAGGAGAGGGGAGGAATTCGGCCAGAGTATCTCTACTTTAGATGGTGTGTTGAATTCCCTCACCCCTATGGTCTATTTATACTTGTAGACTCCTTAAGGGTTACAACCTAAACCCTAATTGGATAATCTTCTCTTAAGGCTATCCAAATCCATTCCATAGATAACCCTATGGATGATTTTGGCTTATCCAAGCCCTAGAAATCGTCCATCCTATCTATTATAAGGATTTATAGTCTAAAGTGTAACTATCAAACAATTGACAGTTTATACCCTCTTATTTAATTAATCTCTTTAAGTCACCAAATTAATTCCAATTAATCTATGACTTATATTAATCAAATAACCATATATTATTCCTTATAATATTTACTCTCTCTTAACAAATCATCCATCAAGTTGCTATGGTGAAGGCAACCCAAAAGGACCATGCACAACCGGATCAAATACTTGCCTAATATAGTTGCAGCCTTAGACACTATTCCAACAGTCTCCCACTTGGATAAGTCTAGTAACTATACAAGTACAATTCGGTTTGCAATCGTAGCTCTCAAAGACGCTGTCAACTCTGATCTAATCAATCTTGTCCTTTAGATAAGGGATCTTACAGTCCTCTGTTAGATATCATGCTGACAATCCTATGGAATGGTTAGTCAAGCATTTGATTTCTCGATCTCCGATTTATTTGACATAGAACTTAATCAAACACATCAATTCAGTTCTGACCGGGCCCGACACATAAGTCAAATCAAATCATCGAGTGGCCAAGATATCTCTTCTACCCTCTTAGGATAAAATTTACAGATAAACTTCGACTCATATGCATTTACTTATTCATTAACCAACTATACACACCAATGCGTTTTATAACACCGAATTAATGATGTGTTTTCGCATTATCAATGTACAATCAATTAACAAATAATAAACCATATATCTAGGTTTTAAGACTATATGATATTATCGTCTTGCGATCACCTTTTATATCGTATTCCATAAGGTGATTCCAGCAAGCGCGGGTTTATTCCAATGCTCAAAACTAGTTCATAAGCACTCATGAACGCTGCAGCAACCCTTGCTATGTCTAACACCATTTAGACATTCTACACACCAATTCATGACAATCTTCATTCATATCTACTCCCAACATATGAACGATTGTGGACCATTTGAATAATTCGATTATTCCTAATAAACTCAATTATTCTGGAAGTCAAAACATGCAAAGTGAAACAATAGTTAAACAATTAACATGTGACAGTAACTTTACTCATAAATAAAACTCCTTTATTTAATCATCAAATGTTAATTACATTTATCTATTATACGTTTCTAACACTATCTAATCTATACTAATATCATCCTTCAGCCCAATACTCCTAGCATGCTGCAAGGGCTTAACCCTATTCAGTCCCTTCGTAAGCGGATCTGCTGGGTCATCTTCTGATGATATCCTCTTCACTACGAGTTGTCCTTCTTCTACACGATGTCTAATGAAGTGATATTTTCTGTCGATATGTCGAGATCTACCATGATCCCTCGGTTCCTTGGTCAAGGCAACCGCACCTTCCTTATCACAGAAAATCTCCATGGGCTCCTTTATGGCCAACACACAACTCCAAGATCACCAATGAAGTTCTTTAGCCACATTGCCTCCTTCGACGCTTCGCTCACTGCGATGTACTCTGATTCGCACGTTGAATCAGCTACGGTTTCCTGCTTGGAACTTTTCCATGTCACTGCTCCTCCATTTAGGGTAAAGACCCAGCCCGATTGCGAACGATAGTTGTCCCTGTCGGTCTGAAAGCTGGCGTCACTATACCCTCGCACCTTCAAGTCATCACTCCCTCCAAGGACTAAGAACCATTCTTTCGTCCTCCGAAGGTACTTAAGGATGTTCTTCACTGCAATCCAATGTGCTTTGCCAGGGTTCCCTTGATATCTGCTAACCATGCTCAAAGCGAAGGCTACATCAGGGCGAGTACAAGTCATAACGTACATGATTGAGCCAACTGCGGAAGCGTATGGTACTCGGCTCATACTTGGCATTTCCTTGTATCGGTAGTTCTCCCTTCTTTGAGTTTTCGATACTAAAACGTTTTAGTACCTTCTCTAAGTAAGTATTCTGACTAATTCCAATTAGTCTCTTACTTCTTTCTCTTACTATCCTTATTCCCAAAATGTAAGAAGCCTCTCCGAGGTCCTTCATAGCGAAGCACTTCCCGAGCCAGGACTTAACCTCCTGCAGAGTCGGGATGTCGTTCCCCTATGAGTAATATGTCATCGACATATAGAACGAGAAAGCTTACTATACTCCCACTGGCTTTGACATATACACAAGATTCGTCTTCGCTTCGTACAAATCCAAACTCTTTGACTTTCTCATTGAAGCAAAGATTCCATCTGCGAGACGCTTGCTTAAGTCCATAAATGGACTTCTCAAGCTTACACACTCTATTCGGATGCTTCGGATCCACAAACCCCTCTGGCTGAGCCATGTAAACATCCTCAGCCAACTTTCCGTTAAGGAAAGCGGTCTTGACATCCATTTTCCAAATCTCATAATCATGAAATGCGGCAATTGCTAGCATCACTCTAATAGATTTAATCTTCGCAACTGGTGAGAAGGTCTCATCATAGTCAACCCCGGGAGTTTGAGTAAAGCCCTTCGCGACCAATCGCGCTTTATATGTGTGTACGTTCCCATCCACGTCGGTCTTCTTCTTGAAGATCCATTTGCACCCAACGGTCTTACGTTCGGGCACATAATCAACCAAATTCCAAACTTGGTTATCGTACATGGATTGGATCTCGCTATCTATTGCCTCTTTCTATTTCGCAGACTCTGGGCCTGCCATGGCTTCCTTATAGCTATTAGGTTCATCAAGATTTACTAGTGTACCATCACTAATATACGTGTCCCCTTCGGTAGTAATATGAAACCATAAAACTGGGGATGAAATCTAACTCTATCGGAACGTCTAAGAGGTAAGGATTCGTCAATCGGTTCAACCGGAGTTTCCTCCTCGGGTTGAATGCCAGCGGTAGAGGTTCCTTCATCTATCGACTCTTGAATCTCTTCAAGTTCGATTTGCCTCCCACTGTCTCCTTGGCTTATGAGTTCTCGCTCTCGGAAAACTCCTCTCCTCGCAACAAAGACAACATTGTCTTTCGGTCTATAGAAGAGATATCCAAAGGATGTTTGCGGGTAGCCGATGAAAATACATCGCTCACTTCGAGGTTCAAGCTTGTCGTGAGTATCTCGTCTTACGAAAGCCCGCAACCCCAAACCTTGATATGTGCCAACGAGGGAGCTTTCCCCGTCCACATCTCGTGAGGTGTTTTGGCAACCTTCTTAGTAGGGACTCGGTTAAGGATATGGGCGGCAGTCTCTAAGGCATACCCCCAAAAGAAGATAGGTAGTGAAGCACGACTCATCATAGAGCGAACCATATCCAATAAGGTTCGATTACGCCTTTCTGCCACACCATTCAACTGCGGTGTCCTAGGAGGCGTCAATTGCGAAACTATTCCACACTCCTTGAGATAATCGTGGAATTCAAGACTTAGGTACTCTCCTCCTCGATCGGATCGAAGCATCTTGATTTTCCTGCCCAATTGATTCTCCACTTCATTCTTGAACTCTTTGAACTTTTCAAAGGTGTCTGACTTTTGCTTGATTAAGTAGATATACCCATATCTACTATAGTCATCGGTAAAAGTCACATAGAAGCGGTTCCCATCCTTCGTGGTTGATCTAAAGGGTCCACATACATCGGTATGTATTAGGTCCAATAGCCCCTCACCCCTTTCACAAGTACTCGTGAAGGGTGACTTAGTCATCTTTCCAAGTAAACAAGACTCGCATGTGTCATCTTCCCTAAGGTCGAATGACTCTAACACTCCATCCTTTTGGAGTTGGGCTATGCGTTTCTTGTTGACATGTCCAAGACGGCAATGCCACAAGGATGATTTATCCATACTAGTGGAAGAATCAATATTCAAAACATCATTTCCTAAGTTATCAACAATCATAACAGTTTCATATATTCCATTACATGGTATAGCTTCAAAGTAAAAGACACCATTTAGATAAACCAAAATAGAACCATTCTCATTGTTAAAAGAAAATCTAAATCCTTGTCTATATAAACCATGAAATGAAATGATGTTTCTAGCCATTTCTGGCGAATAGCAACAATTGTTCAAATCTAAAACCAAACTATTCCTAAGCACTAAAGAATACACTCTAATCTTGGTTATAGGCGACGATCTTCTGTTCCCCATGATTATATTGATCCTTCCTTACTCTACATCCCTACTTCTTCTTAGTCCCTGCACATTAGAACAAATGTGATAACCACAACCGGTATCAAGAACCCAAGAAATAGCATGATTAGAATCGTTAGATTTGATTGTGTATATACCTGCGAAAGATGGCTTGATCTTTCCTTCTTTGATTGCTTGCAGGTAATCCGGGCAGCTTCTCTTCCAATGTCCTATCTTGTGGCAGTGGTGGCACTCTGCATCCTTTGGGTTGGAGCAGGGCTTAGCGGGATCAACTTTGGTCCCACTAGAAGAGGCACCATCTCGGGCTTTCACCTTGCGATAGTTATTCGATGAAGCTTTCCTCTTCTTTCCCTTCCCTTGACCAATAGCCAAGATAGGAGCAGCGGACGGATTGGGAGTAGGTGCAACAAATTTGTCCTTGAAGTTGCTCTCAGCGACCCTCAAGAGACCTTGGAGTTTGCTTAGGGTGACCTCTTCTTTGTTCATGTGGTAGGTCATCCTAAATTGGTTGTACATTGGAGGCAAAGAGTGAAGCACCATGTCGATTGCCAAGTCTTCACCAAAGTCAACATTCAACTTGCGAAGGCGGTCGACATACCTTTTCATCTTTTGCAGGTGCACGGTAAGAGATTCTCCATGACCCATCTTAGCGGAGATCATGTTAGTGAAAATCTCGTAACGCTCTTGTCTCGCGTTTTGGTGGTATCTCTCCAACAAGTCTTGATGCATCTCGTATGGATACATGTCCTCGTAGGACTTTTGGAATTTGGAGTTCATGGTGGCGATCATGATGCAATGTACCTTCGTTGCATCTCGCTCATGAGTTTCAAAGGCGGTGATTTCTTCGGGAGTAGCAATTTTGGGGTTGATTTTCTCGAGCTTCTCATCGAGGACATACTCTTTATCCTCATAGCGAGCAATGGTGCGAATGTATCTTATCCATTCGCTAAAGTTCGTTCCATCGAAGGTGACCTTTTGGCAAAGGCTCATCAACGTGAAAGAACTAGCAGCAGCGTTGTTTGCGTTCGACATCTTCAATTAGAAAAGGACAAAGATAGATTAGAATAAGAATCCCTAATTATCACCCAATAAGAAAAATTAGGGCTAGGATCCAACAATAACATTTACATACTAGAAAAGGGATGTCGTAATCTAACATGCAAATAAATTGAAGGTAAGTGAATGACGATTCACTAATTCTCCATCATAAAACTTAAACTATTAGTCCTAAGTGTTTTTGAGAATTCCTAGGTTCGGATGAGATTCATTGAACTATTCAATGGCATGTTTAAATCTCGATATGCCCCTCTCGTTTGTGACTGGGATGCCGAGGATCACAAAGCGGATGTGAATTACCATGCAAATTCACATTGTGCCTTCATTGTAACGATCACCTATTCGATGTGCCGGTAAACCACACACGCTCCATCGAACTATGATAAACAATGAATCACCCTTTGCCACCTTCGCTTAGAACCAATTAGTGTGCCGGTAAACCACACACGCTCCACTAACTTCTTAGCAAGGTGCAAAGTGTAATTTCATGGGATTTTTAACAAATACTTGCCTAATATAGTTGCAGCCTTAGACACTATTCCAACATAAGGCACCTTCTTGTTCAGGTTTTTTAACATTCTCTTCCTTAAGTCTTCCTCATATCCTGTACTTTCAAAGTCATCATTGTTGATCACACCTAAATCATCATCTTGATTTAAATCTAATTCTATGTTTGGACCTTGTCCAAACCATTCAACCTCATCCACACAACTGTGAAACTCTCTCATATCAACATCCCAGTCATCTAAAATAGCTTCTGGGTCAACAATGTAGTTAAAATCATCATATTCTTCTGTATGCTCTTCTGAATCATCTGCATGCCCTTGTTCATCTTCTTCATCCTGTTCTTCTTCAGCTTCAACCTCTCTTTCAAACTCACCCATATTCTGATATCCATCACTACTAAAAGGCTCAAAATCATCTAGCATTTCCCTATGATTATGGCAATTAATATCAACTGTAATTTCTTGCATTGTATCAGTTTCTTTTGGTACAGGGAAATATGAATCATCCTTAAACTCATTAACCATGTCTTGTTTGTTTGGCTCAAAAGGAACTAGGGACATGGAATAATCATACACACCATCTTCTCTCTGAGCTTGACTAGCTGATTTTTAAGTGGGACATTCATGTCTAATTTCTTGCTACACGAACCAATTCCCTTATTCTTAGGCCTAATCCTATTAAGCTCAGGAGAAGGATCATCATCCAGTTGCTCAATAACAACTTTACTTGGGGACATGAAGTAAGTATGAAGTCTTGTAAAACCATGTTCAACGCACATATTAATCACTATGTTTTGAGGGACAAATTGAGTCAGAGATATAACGTCTTGATCATTTCCTAGAGCCTTCAATCCAAAATCTAAGTCTAGATTAGGAATTCTATAATGATATTACATTGTGTCATCCGCAAAATACCCTATCTCACGAATCATGTCATTTAGATCATGAACTGAAAAAAGATCAGTGTCAACAAAGTCATAGAATGGCAACCTTCCCTTAACATACTTTCTTCTTGGGAACTTTGAAAAAAAATCCACCATGATGTATCTTTAAAGTGAAGAAATTATCGTGACCATCTGAAAAAGAAAAATGATGAGCCTTGAATATATTAACCAAGAAACACCAAACAAAAGATGAAACAACTTACTGTAATCTTTATCAAGGTCGGGTGCAATCGTATGGGGACCACGTAAAGTCCACATACAAAGTACCATTTTCAGTTGATAAAACCTAAAATCGGATGGGAGTGATGAAGGATGAAGGATGAAGATCGTCAAGATGATCGGTAAGCTAAGGTGAAGAGGATATGAAGGGGGTTTCTTGGACTCTGCTTAATGAGGATATGTTAATGACGTATCGCAACCTAATCCATCTTAAATGAGCGCCAAACGTAAAAAGACGAATATACCCCTAACTTAATGATCACAAACGCCTACAAATTGACGGTGTTATGAAAAAGGACATCCAATGCAACTTTTACAAACCACAATGGCCAAATGCATAAAAAAATAGATAGGGACTAAGTTTGTTACTTTTGACAAACCACAGGGACCATTTTTGTAATTTTGTCTTTATTAATTTAATAAAATTTTATAAAATCTTTTTTTACCCGTGGATTCAACGGGTTGTAACCTAGTATTATATAATTAAAAGATTAATATATTATATGTATAAGATAAGTCAGTCAAATTGCTACCACGACTCATTCATGAAGCCATAATATAAAGAACTTTTAAGGAAACGACTTATTGAATGACCACCGTTGGGTATCCGTTTTTATCTACCGTTCTCTTGTATGGTGGAGAGTCGTTAGCCGAACGGATTTGATATGACATAATCTCATTAATAAATATAACGATATAAATTAAGTAAATCATTGGTGTTAGCACACATTCATTCATTGAACTCTCTTGGTGTGTGGATACTTTCAAATGATATTTTTTAATTAGTTTCTTAATCCAAAAATACAATTGAATAGATACCCAACTTGTTGATAGTAAATTTGTAATTGTTATTGCCAAGTTAAGTGGATCACCCGTGTCGTGTTTGTTTGTAGTTTAAACTTTAAAGTTTTGCTTACGGATTTCTACTATAAACCAACAAGCAACGTAATCATACTACCATTATTTAAAAAAAAAAAATCCTTTTTTTTGTTAAGAATACGTATTTGATAACATTTATCGGGGTTGAATCCACATGATACGAAATTATTAGTACGTCATTATACTTAAAATCTACTTATGTAAAAGAAACAAAAAAAAAACCAGAAAATCAATCAAAATTAAACTTTAAACATATTCGTGAATTTTTTTGCAAAAATTTGGAGATGCGGGGGATCGAACCCCGTGCCTCTCGCATGCAAAGCGAGCGCTCTACCATTTGAGCTACATCCCCTTATGATTATAACTTGTGCTTTTAATATAAGATTACTAATCTCTATTTTGGGGTCATATGCAAGCACGGAGAAGAGGTGCTTCCATTGTTGCGCTCTCTTTGCGTTCACAAATCGAGCTTCAGCGCAGACTATTCACAGGTGACACCAAATCGGCCAATTTCTTGACACCCCTCGATTCATTATCATCTTCTATCGATTTTCTTGATATATCTTCTGATAATCATTTTGGGTGGTTTTTATTGGAAGTTCTTGCTCTAGCTCTAGTTTCAGATTCACACGGCTTCTTTTCTCTTACATATACATTTTTCTACATTGTTCATCACCCCTTCAGGAATTAACTGTTTCTAAAGTCGAGGTAATCCACCATTTTCTCTTTGAAATCAAAGAGATCTCGAAATTAAACAATTTGAGTTGCGTAAATGTTCGAATTTGCTACTGTTTTTGCTTTTGTTTTGCACACCGACTGCAATTTTTTGACTAGTTAAATACATTATTTATATGTTTGGTTATTGGTGTCATTTATAGGGTCAATTTATTCGTGAAATTTGTGATAGTCAGTAGTTCGGGGATCATCGTCACATTCCACTAATCAATCTCGAAATCTGCGGGTCATTGAGGTTTATGTTCATAGCCGTCTACGGGCATTTCTCTCGCACTTGATTTCTTTTTAAATCATCTTCGTTTCTTCCCATCTGATCTGAACACCTGTTGTCTTCCAGTTTAATCAACCGTCAGCTTGTCCATTAAATCATTCAAGATTCACTACGAATCCGCAGAGATTCATTGAGGAATTTAAACAGAGTACGTATCCACAATCTAAGTCACCGAATCAGAAAAAGACCCAGATCTGTATGATCAGTGTCGCCAACTACCTAAAATTGTGCCTTTTGTTTTTCAGTGTGGGATTCAATGCTGATGATGTTCAAATCATTTGTTTAACTTGTAGGGTTTTTTGATGCATTTTATCTATATAGTTTCAAGAATCGGAGAGATTTAAGTTATAGATTAGGAGATGGCCTGGTTTAGCGGGAAGGTCTCGTTAGGTAACTTGGATTTTGCTGGCGCTGTTAACAAGCTGAGTGAGAGCGTTAAGACTATCGAGAAGAATTTTGATAATGCCCTTGGGATTGAAGAGAATACTGATGGCGCTTCTTCCACCTCTCAAGGTAACTTGTTCACTTCCTGCAACTTACTGAAATTCCAAAATTCCAATTCTGTTATTTGATTACATTCATATCTGTTTACAGGTTTATGGTCTACTGATTTAATGTCATTTATGGGCCCAAAAGATGATGATGATGAGGATAATGATACCAAGTCCTCGGAAAATCCTGATCCTTTAGAAAAAAATGAATCTTCAAATCATCCATCTTCTTCACAGGAAAATGAAATGGCTGAAACTGATGATCAAGTTAATGTTGAAACTTCAAAGCTTGAAGAACATCAGACTCACCCCTTGGAAACAAATAATCCACTTTTAGAGGAAGCAAACATCAGGAACGAAAAGTCAGTTGAAACAGATGTTGAAAAATCTGAAGAGGCAGTTACCATTGACAAGGATCAAAGTGAAACGAGTGATAATTTGCAAGCAGAAGCAGGTGTTGACCATGTTGACCATTCTGAGTCAACCAATTCTGAAGATCAAGTTGCAGGTACTTCCTCGGACCCAAATGAGGTGAACACAATTGTTAATCTTCAGAAAACTGAAGATGAAGTTAAGACACAAGAAGAAGATTCTGATGGGCAAACTGGAAATGGGACACGTCAGCATGAAGCTCAATCTGCCACATCTGATGTGGCGAGCATACAAGTTTCAGATGAAGCTTCTGAGGTGGTTTCAAATGATGCCATAAAAGAACAAGAGATGATTTCAGGAATCAATGAAGATTCAGTGGTTGAGCTGGAGAAAGTGAAGAGGGAGATGAAATTGATGGAAACTGCACTTTTAGGAGCTGCTAAACAAGCTCAGGTACTCAAATGTTAAGCTTTTTTGAACTTATAGGAACAATTCTTTCAATATATTATTGAAGTTTAATCCATTTGTTATCTATGTTATCAGACGAAAGCTGATGAAATTGAAAAACTGATGAATGAAAATGAGCAATTGAAGTCTCTGCTTGAGGATCAAATGGTAGGTTAGGTGTAAGTTTATACTGCCTGAAATTTGTTAAACTAAGACTCTTTTTTGTAATTTTTTTATATTCTTGTGGGCTAATAGCAACATACTTTTACTCTTGTTACCAATATACACAATGTACTTTACTACTTCATGGGTAAAAAATAAAGTACATTGCTCATATCAGTAAAAAGGGTAAAATACATTTTGCTATTTCCTACCATTTATCCTTTTCTTTTTTAGTCTCAATCTTTCACACTATTAAACAGAGAAAATCAAATGAAGCTGAAATCGAGTCTCTAAGAGAAGAGTATCATCAGAAGGTCTCCACTCTTGAAAGAAAGGTAATCTGTCCATATACATTTTAAATCTTGTTATCTCATAAATTTTTTTCTTTCACAACATTGTAAGAAAGATAAAATATTTAAAATATCACTTAATAATGGACAAAAATCCTTATTTTATTGCAGGTTTATGCTCTCACAAGGGAAAGAGATACCCTACGTAGAGAGCAAAATAAAAAAAGTGATGCTGCTGCCCTTCTTAAGGAAAAAGATGAAATCATCACTCAAGTTATGGCAGAAGGTAATGATTAACAAATTTTAGTCTCACCTAATTAAGATTAGAATCTCTATGATAAAAACATTTATCTTTTTCCTTTTTGTTCATTTAGGTGAAGAACTCTCAAAGAAACAAGCAGCTCAAGAATCTCAAATCAGGAAACTACGTGCACAGGTATAAAATCAAATAAGCCAAAACTGTCACTTTACAACAGTTTCCACATATTGTTATTTTAAATTTTAAATTTTTGTTTTTTCTGATCACTAGATCAGAGAATTTGAAGAAGAGAAAAAGGGGTTGACAACAAAGCTACAGGTAATTACATTCTTTACCCCTGTGAGTAATCTTAACAGTTCCCAAAATTGTTATTGATTTTATAAAAAAAAAAAAAAAAATCTTTTTAGGTTGAAGAGAACAAGGTGGAGAGTCTAAAGAGGGACAAGTTAGCGACAGAGAATCTCCTCCAAGAAACAATAGAGAAAAACCAGTTTGAACTTTCAACTCAAAAAGAATTTTACACAAACGCATTGAATTTAGCCAAAGAAGCGGAAGCAATAGCACAAGCACAGGCAAACAATGAAGCCAGATCTGAATTAGAGTCTAAATTAAAGGAATCAGAAGAACGTGAAACAATGCTCATTCAAACCCTAGAAGAATTAAGACAAACTTTAAGCAGAAAAGAGCAACAAACAGATTTTAGAGAAGATATGCTAAGACGAGACATTGAAGACCTTCAACAACGATACCAGGTTTGCCACGTGTCATCAAACTTTTATAAAATAAAACGAAAATTTCATCTCTAAATTGTGTTTTTTTTTTTTTTAATCTACAGGCGAGTGAACGTCGATGTGAAGAGTTGATTACGCAAGTTCCAGAATCTACTAGACCTCTTTTGAGACAGATTGAAGCTATGCAGGAAACAACGTCTAGAAGGGCAGAAGCTTGGAGTGCTGTGGAGAGATCGCTAACATCACGTCTTCAGGTTTAAAATATATTTTTAATTTTTAATTTTAATTTTGTTTTTGCTAATATTTAAATTAACAGGAAGCGGAGTCGAAAGCTGCGGCTTCAGAAGAAAGAGAGCGTTCTATGAGCGAACGGTTGTCCCAAACTTTGTCTCGCATTAATGTTCTAGAAGCTCAGATTTCGTGTTTGAGAACTGAACAAACACAGCTAACGAGATCACTTGAGAAGGAAAGACAGAAAGCAGGAGAAAGTCGGCAGGATTATTTGGCGTTGAAAGAGGAGGCGGATACACATGAAGGTCACGTGAGTCAGCTTCTAGAAGAAATAAAGGAACTCAAAAGGAAACATAAGGAAGATTTGCACGAAGCATCGACTCACCGTCAACTTTTACAGCAGGTAATTTTATTTTATATTTCTTATTTGAAAATAATCTTTTACTTTAAAAAAAATATTATTATCATATTTCATACATCCTTTATTTATAAAATAAATATTTACAGGATATAGAACGTGAAAAGGCTGCTCGTTTGGAGTTGGAAAAGGCAGCTCACCTTGCTGAGCAAAATCCGTTACTCAGAACAAACTCGAATTTTGAGAATGGTAAATCAGCGTTTAATATCTACAATTTTTTTTTTTTTTAATATTATGTTATTTGGATATTAATTTATGGATATGAAGGTTTGAGGCGTGGAGTTTCAAGTGCCAATAGTTTAAGTAGCATGGAGGAAAGTCATTATCTACAGGCGTCTTTGGACTCATCTGATAGTTTATCAGAAAGAAGAAATCCCGGAGAGGCTACAAATACAAATACAATGAGTTCGTATTATTTAAAGAGTAAAACACCAAATGCATTTGAAGCTGCTCTTCGACAAAAGGAGGGTGAACTTGCATCTTATATGTCTAGACTGGTATACATCTATCTTTTCTTTATAAAGCTAATAAACATTTTTTTTTTAATAAATAACTTTAATGATTGATGCTATTTGTTATTTAATTTTAGGCGTCTTTGGAATCCATTCGGGACTCTCTGGCTGAAGAGTTGGTTAAAATGACTGCAGAGGTATGTTTTTTTTTTTTGTTCACTTGAAGACAGCTGCCCGGAAATTATGGAGTATGAATGTTTTTGCAGTGTGAAAAATTACGGTCAGAGGTGTCTCAGCTGCCCGGAATGAAGGCAGAGCTAGAAGCACTGAGACGCAGGCACTCCGCTGCACTGGAGTTGATGGGTGAACGCGATGAGGAGGTAAATGTTTTTATTTATTTATTATTTTTTTCAAAATAAAAATATATAACGGGTTATATTTTGAAAATTTATTTATTGTTTGTAGCTTGAAGAGCTTCGGGCTGATATCGTGGACTTGAAGGAGATGTATAGAGAGCAAGTAAACGTTCTTGTAAATAAGGTATGCTTTGGAGTTTTAAAAAGTTAGAAAATAAAAAACTCTAAACATTGAAAATATTCTGTCTTATTTTGTTTGTTGTAGATCCAGGGGCCGAGTTCATCAATTGGTGCTGCTGCCTAAATAAGGGAGAAGAAAATACATACCAACTTTTTACTTGCAGAATGATATGCTAATGTTTTGTGATGAGTTCCAGAGCTCATATGTTTTGTAACTTTAATTCATATGAATAATAGAAAATGACAAGCTTGATAATTTCAACACCCAAGGCGTGTGTGTTACTCTTTCACATGTTTGAAATCCTCTCTTTGATGGATTGCCCTGAGTGTTTGAGATTGCCTTTTGAACTTACTCCAAAAATAGGGGACGCCGTGTTATGCTTTTTTTGACATGACAACCAAATAAAAACGACAAATACAACATGACAAAGATATCATAGAATAACAATTAGTTAATTTAATTAATATTTAATCATACATAACATGAAAAACACGACAAAAATGCCATATTGTGTTAATTTTCATGTCGAATTTTGAGAACAAAAACACATGACGCGACACCATATTTTTTACACTAGGCACGAATTTAGATTTCAATTGTCTCAATTTTGTTTCGTGTCTCTCATCAATTGTCACCAATGTCCAAAAGTGTGTTTGGGTAAAACTCTTTGGATTAAATTTTGTGGTAGTGAAAGTCAATAAGTCAATAAATAAAAATTGTTTTTGTTTAAAATCTCTTTTTTAAAGTTATTGTGCCTGTAAAGCCAATTTAAAAAAATCAAGTTTTATACCATTTTTAAAATTTCTTTTTTGAAACAAATGAGAACTCTATTCCGAAAAATGATTTTGAATTTGCCAAACATTTTTTTTTTAATTTGTTGATTTTTCAAAAAGCTAAGAGTAAATTACTGAAATTGTCCTTGTGGTTTGGTCAAAATTGCACGTTTGGTTCATAATTTTTTTTTTGCACTTGGATCGTCCCTATGGTTTGATTTTGTTGCATTTTTCGTCCCCTGTGGTTTGATTTTGTTGCATTTTTTTTATCCCTTTCATACATAAAGTTAGGGACCAAACATGCAATTTTTGCCAAACCATAGGGACGAATAACGCAACAAAATCAAACCATAGGGACGATGCGAGTGCAAAAAAAAATTAGGAACCAAACGTGCAATTTTGACCAAACCACAGGGACAATTTCAGTAATTTACTCAAAAACTAATAAGTTATTTTGATTGATAGATGTTTCAAAAAGTATGATCTCGTTGGAAGTTATCTCATACTAATTAGAAAGAGCTTTCTTATGAATAAACTGGAAAATGTCACTTTAGCACATTAAAATTTCGTTAATTATCCGATTTGGTCACTAAATATTTTTTTTTTGCGCAATATAACACTAAACTCGTTTTTTACCTGTTAATTATACCATTTTGCTCAAATTTAGCAGGTTACCAGGTTACAATGTTGATGTGATATTTATAATTAGTTTATCTTTACTTTTTGTGAGCCACATCATATAATCCACATAGATAAATAATAATATACTTATAACTTTTTAAAATTTAGAGAAAACACCACCACCGTAAGTGTTTTTGTTTTTACCCGCATAACAAAAACCACTTTCCTGAAACTGAAATCAATTTACGCCTGCAGCCGAAATGATCAAATCCAAACCAAAAATTAACCATTCAAATGTGTTGATTTTGTGTTCTTGAAACCCATTCATTTGCAGATTTTTGGTGCAATTCTGGTTTTTGGTTGCATGTGAAACCCATTAATGTGTAGAATTTGTATTCTTGAAAAAAAAAAAACACAAATCCAAGCCCTAAATTCTGATTTCGTCAATCTCCCACCACCACTTTCGTCAACCTTATAACATCATCATCGTAAACCTTACGCCGTTGCCATCGTCCCACTAATCCAAGCCCTAAATCAATAGATCGTTAGTGAGAGAAGTTCTTCATATCTTTCATCTTCCTCTGTTCTTTCACTGATCAACATGATGAACACCATCACCATTATGTGACGTTTGGTTCATGGTATGTATTTAACTTATAATTTATTCTATTTTATCGAGCAACTTAACGAGTTGGGAGCCCCAAACTCGTCGAGTAGAAATCATAAGGGTCGCGTTTTTTGAGTGACCTACTTGACGAGTTAGGATGCCTCAACTCAACGAGTAGGCTGACATATATGAAACCCTAATTTCTGGGGTTTGCACCCTATTTAAACGCCTTAAACCTTTCATGTTGGCCTCATTTCCAGCCTCCAAGTCCCTAACCCTAGATCTCGAAACCCTAATGCTATTGTGAGTGTTTGTGAGCCATTTTAAGTGTTTTGAGTGTGTACTTGAAGCTATTGGAAGAATGAGAAGCTTGAGGACACAAGAAAGAGCTTGTACATCCAGAATCCTTGCCTCATCCATGACACTTTGCTGGTATAAAGCTTGAACCTTGCTTTGTAGTTGTTTAGATCATCTTTTAGGGTTATTTTGATTGGTTTTGGTCCAAATATCATGGTCCTTGGGAGTTGGACGTCCTAAATGGGTTCACATTTCAGATCTAAGGTCTTAAGGGGTTTTCATGGCATAAAGGTGCTAACTTTATGGGCATGGAAGTCCCATGAAACCTCTAGACCATCATTTTGGTCTTTTGAAGCTTCTAATAGCCATGCATGAAGATAAAGCTTAAGGCTTTACGTGATCATTTAGTCCCTAGAGTCTAGATCTATGATCTCATGGTCTATCTTGTAGCTTTGGTTGTTTTTGGATCAAGACCTTGGCCTTTTTGGTTTGGGGTTAGAGCTTATTTCTTCTAGAGTGGGTTTTAATGGGTAAAGTTGAAAACTTTACCCTCCTAGATGTATTTTCGGCCCAGATCTGGAATATGAGACTTGGATTTGAAGAATAAGAGCTTAATCATAAACACAAAGCAAAGGGTTCTAACACCCAAATCAAAAAGTAAATGAATAAAAAACACATTGGAACACTAATTATGGTTAGAAAAAAGAGCCAAATGATTTCTGGCATGAATCCGCTCTCTAATCCTTCAGATCTTCGCTCCTGTCAGCTTAACGACCTTCCGATCGCCTTTAGACCCTCAAAAAGGCTTATTGGGGATTTATAATCGCATGAATCAATCTAGAGTGTTAGATCTCTCTTTAGGGCTAATTTTTGGCTCTATTTATATTTTAAAGTCAACTCGACGAGTTTGGGCACCAACTCGGCGAGTTCTTCATTAAAATCCCGTATTCCCCAAGTCAGCGTTAAGAATTACGAAGCTTCAGATCAACTCATCGAGTTGGATGGCCCAATTCGACGAGTTCGTTTGGAATCAACATTTTCCCAAAACACGAAAGTCGTCCAAATAGCATAAAAACATAGTATAAAATAATAAGAAAACGTCATAAATATATGCATAAAATAGAAGTTATCATTAGACACTAAGTCCATAACTGCCAATGTTCATCTATAAGATACCAAATCCATAGCTACCAACATTCATTTTTAAGGCACTAAGTCAATAGTTGCCAATGCTCGTTTATGAGGCACTAAGTCCGTAGTTGCCAGGGATTTTAGATTACATCTGGTGAACACATCGTTCACAACACCTACAGGTTGCGAGCCTGCTAGTGTTCCACTGGACTGTCTAGAATAGTCTGTGGTTGTCATCTATACTCTGCTAGATGACTGGGCCATCGTTTGGGTCAAGGCTTTTCATCATATTTCACCTCTCATCATCTATATCATCTTTAATCTCTTATGATTCACCTAATCTTTCATCTCTCATCTCATCTCATCTTTAATTTACCTATCTTTATCATCATAATTATAGATATAAAATACTTATAAAGTTTAAATCGAATAAAACATGTATAATTTGTTCATCCAACATATATATCAAGAACATAGATAATATGCACACATAAAACGTAATTTAAATACTTCATATCTATATGTAAGATGAAAGTAACTATGCACTCACGTGTTAAAGTGACGACTTAAATTCGAGCAGCGCTTCGCTTCTAGCAATTGTATTTTCCTTTGACGTAATCTAACATTATTATTGCTAAGGCTAAAAAGTAATTTATCAAAAATTCACTTTTTACGTTATGCGGTGTAGTGTCGGTTTTGCCGTAAAACTTCAACTGGTCATAACTTGTTCGTTATAACTCAAATTTCAGTGACTCTATATGTACTAACCCTTGTGATATATATTATAACTTGGTTAAGATTATTTTATCTAAACTAGGTTATAACCCATGAGAACTACAGTTACAAAAATAATTAAATTTTTATAGTAAAAAATCATAATTATTAATCAATTATTTCAATAAATGATTAATTAAGAGAATTATATTTTTTTTTTCTATTTATATAAAATTAAATAAACATGTGAAACAATTTTTCAAGATATATAAGATAGTTTTTCAAGATAAAAATAAAACATGTGAAACAATTTTTCAAGATATATAAGATAGTTTTTCAAGATAAAAATAAAACAACCATAGTAACTGACCCTTTTGTTCATAGAGTATTAGCTTCTTGCGCAATAAAATCACAAACACTTATTGTGTAGAACAACTAAAATATTTCATCAAACACCTGGTGTGTAGGAATTAGCGCAATCCATTGGATACATATATAAACCAAAAAACTCCTCATACATATGTCACTTTTTTGTTTTAAAAGCACATTTGTCATCTTGATGGCAAACCAAATAACATGACACATAGTTCTAAATGTTAGTTTCACCATCAATGGTAGTCCATTATGTAATGATTGTGATAGATAAACTATACACAAACAATCTGACTCGGAGAAAGACCACTCATAATAAGATGAGAGACTAATATACATTTAACTCATAAGCATTAATAAAAATACCTACAAAAGAAGTAAAGTAGGCAGTCAAACAACGCAGTATGACACCATTACCATAAAGTACATTTCTAGTAATATGAAACTAAAAGTCAAAGAGTGAATATTGGTATAGATAAGCAGAATTTAAGCAAATATTTTAGGGTTTTTCCAATTTTTTTCTTTTTGGGTCTGTTTAATACCTTTGGCATGGTGTTTATAATTGGAGAAATTAAATTGCCTCCTACCTTTTATTCCTACAATTATTCCTACCTACTAAAATTATGACAAATCACTATTCAATTTAATTGTATTTAATCTATTCCTAATATAGTTTTAATGATTTAGTTTAAAAAATATGGAAAAATGACACTTGTTATAATTTTATTGGGTAGGAACATTTGTAGGCATAAA